TTTTTTTTTTTTGGTACTGGGGATCAAACTCAGGACCTTGCGCTTGCGAGGCAGGCAGCAGAACCACTGAGCTAAATCCCCGGCCCCAGACTGTAATATTTTTACAAGCCTGCTTTTCTGTTGGATATACTTCGCAGCAACATTCACTGTATTTTTATCATACCTCATAAGGACACCAAAGAGGACTTCCAAAATTGCTTCAGAATGTGGCAAGAACAATGTTCAAAGCAAAAGTGAGTATTTTGAAGTGGATCAATGGTAATGTGTCTTTTATGGTAAAAAAAAAAATTCAAACTTGCTGGGCATGGTGGAGCATGCCTATAATCCCAGCACTCAGGAGGATAGCTCTTGAGTTTGAGGCCAGCCTGGACTACATAGTGAATTCAAGGCCAGCCAGAACTACATAATGAGACCCTGTCTCAAAAAACAAAAAAAAAATTGGAGGGCCGGGGATTTACCTCAGTGGTTCCACCACCTGCCTCACAAGCACAAGGTCCCAAGTTCGATCCCTGGTACCAAAAAAAAAAATTCAAATTTAAATAATCAAGGGAGAAGGGGGAAGTAAAAAGTATCAAGATGTGACCACAATGAATGTATTTATTATGTATTAAAAACATGTACTGGTAAAACAAAAAAAAGAAATCTAAACATTCACCGTTGTCAGGCAGTTTAGCTCAGTGGTGTCACGCCTGCCTTGCAAGCACAAGGTCCTGAGTTCGATCCCTGGTACCGGGGGGGGGGGGGAACCAACACCCCCCAAGAAAGCAGAAAAGGTAGGGAAAATTTTGAACTTGTGGGGAGGGGTCAGGGATTTAGCTCAGTGGTTTCGCCGCCTGCTGCGCAAGCGCAAGGACCTGAGTTCGATCCCCAGTACCAAAAAAAAAAAAAGTAAATCAGGGGCCAGGGATTTAGCTCAGTGGTTTCACCACCTGCTGCACAAGCGCAAGGACCCGAGTTCGATACCCGGTGCCAAAAAAAAAAAAAGTAAATCAAAAAAAGCATGACTTCATGGATCAATGATTAGAGTTATGCCAAGAAAATGAAAAACTGGAAGTTGAACACAGGAGACCTGAAGAATGAATTACGTGGAATTTAGAGGGGAGGAAGCTAATTTAGAAACAAGTACATTTTAGGTTGGAGTTTTCCAACTATAATCTCAGGAAGCAGACCAAAGTATTCTGTCAAAATGAATTTTTACCCACTTGGAAGGGAACAATATTTAAGAGAGCATTCTCAATTTTAACTTTCCTCATTAATTTCTTTGAAATAACTGATTTACACATATAAATATGTAAAATCTGACTACTCCAAAAACTAGTTTCATGTTATTAAAAAACACCAATTTCCAACTGGTCCATCTGTTTTCAGCCTATGTGACAGAATTAAACATCAGTGTGTCACAATGTCTTCTGTAAAGGGTGTTAGCCAAGAGAATCCTAACCATGACTTCTAACATGCAGGAAAGTGTTTTTAGATGAAAACAAGATATCTAACAGAGAAACCCTCTACTATGTCCATGCCACGTAAGTCTCTGTACCATTCAGGTACAAGTTAGAAGTTCTAACAGAAACATGAATGAGTTTAAGGTTGAAACCACAGATATCCAGAATGAAGCTGAGAGGGCCGGGGATTTAGCTCAGTGGTTCCACCACCTGCCTTGCAAGGGCAAGGACCCGAGTTCAATCTCCGGTACCAAAAAAACAAAAAAAACAAAAAAAAACACCTACCAACAACCAACCAACCAACAGAATGAAGCTGAGGGCAGAACCACTGCTTAAATAGATGGGAGGAAGGACCCAAAGGTTTCTCCAAAGTTTTTCAGAGAAAGGAAAAGAAGTCTAAGAGAAAAAAACATTTCAAGCAGGAAGAAAACTGACAGTGACACCAAAACTGACACAGTGTTAGGCTCCTCACACATATTACTATATTTAACTACAAAACCACCCTGAGATAGGTAATCAAATTTGAGAGCTGGAAACTGAACCTCGAAAACATCAATTACCTGCCCAAGTTCACCCAGACAAGGAGTGGTAGACTCTAAACCAGTGATGCCAAACCTTTCAGAACTTTCAATAATACAAATAGCTCGCTGTGGCATGCAGGCCATGGGTTAGACAACTCAAGCGCCCAAACCCCATGAGGTCTCTTTCAAGTAAGTAAAGCTGATATTAGTGACGTACAAAATGCCAGACTGAGATTAAAACTCAGGCAGATGCTGGGGATATAGCTCAGTGATAAGAGTGCTCGCCTAGCATGCACAAGGCTCTGGGTTCAATCCTCAATACCATTAGATAGAAGAAAAGAAAAGAGGAAAGGAAAGGAAAGGAAAGGAAAGGAGAGGGAGATAGGCATGGTGGTGTACGCCTATAATCCCAGCGCTTGGGAGACTGAGGCAGGAAGACTGTCACAAATTTGAGGTCACCCTGGACTACAAATGAGTTCAAGGCCAGTCTGAACCATATGGTGAGACCATCTTAAAAATCTAAAAACAAATTTAAAAACAAAACAAAACAAAACCAAAAAAAGAATGAATAGCATCACTGGGCAGGTTGGTGCACACTGTAATCCCAACACTGAAGGTCAACCTGAACTACACAACAAAACCTGTCTCAAAAAAACCAAAAAATAAATAGAATAAAACTAATGAGAGAATAAAGTATTACACTGCAAGATGAAAATATTACAGTTTAAGGAAACTAGGTGAGAGGAGACAAACAGGAAAAATGTTCCCACAGAGACTTAAAGTTAATTCATTTTTCTAACAGGCACATATATGTGATCATACTTTACAAATTATCCTAGTACACAACACAAATAAGTAAGCCAGGCATGGGGACACACACCTGTCGCGCCAGCACTCGGGAGGCTAAGGCAGGAAGATAGCTGCGAGTTCAAGGCCAGCCTGAACTACACAGAGAGACTCTGTCTTCAAAAACAAAAATAAAAACATCCCAACCCATAGAATACTTCATTTCATATAACCAATGACCTGGGGTAGGGGTGGGGGTCCTGCTTCTCCTACTATGGCTAATCTTCACCTAGATTAATAAAACCCCAGGGCCAGGGATTTAGCTCAGTAGCACCACGCCTGCTCTGCAAGCACAAGGTCCTGAGTTCAATCCCCAGTACCAAAAAATAAATAAACACTGGAGGGCCAGGGATTTAGCTCAGTGGCGCCTCGCCTGCCCTCCAAACACAAGGTCCTAAATTCAATCCCTGGTACAAAAAAAAGGAAATACTGGAAATTATTTATACTTGAAAAGGTCCATTTCTAGGGCTCTGCATTGCACCTGGATAAGTTGAAGGTGCTTAAATGACGACAAGGGCCCCAGAGGTGGCAGTGGGCAACAAACACCCAGCGTGTGCAGCCACAGTCCCCTCACTCTCCTGCATGGACACCATCCGGGAAGCCAGAAGTACATTTCTTCCATCTGTACTAAGGGCTGAACCCAGGATCTCCTCTAGCAGCCAGGGCAACTTAGCACGATCTTGCCTCAAAATATATTTAAACAAATTTTTAAAAGGGATGTTGCTCAGTATAAAGACCCTGGATTCAATCTTTAGTATCACAGAGAAAGGGGGACAAGTTCTTGTTTTGTTGCCTAGACTGGGCTCAAATTCCTGGGTCTTACCTCTTGCCTCAAACTCCCCTCTGTGCCCAAAAGTATGCTGTTTTAAATGAATTCCAAACTGCAGATCTGGAGGCCAATGGTGTGTATCTGGGATAAAACCAAGCCTGTCTAACTATACTCAAAAGTACAGAAACATCATTTATTCATAAAATGCAAATTCACTGAAAAGTATTAAATGAATTCATGAGTGGTTTTTGGTTTTTTTGTTGGGGTTTTTTTGTACCGGGGATCGATCTCGGACCTTGCGCTTGCAAGGCAGACAGCAGCACCACTGAGCTAAATCCCCGGCCCTTGTTATTTTTGAGACAGGGTCTCACTATGTAGCTCAGACTGGCTTCAAACTCACAGTTATCCCCCTGCCTCAGCTTCCTGAGTGCTGGGATTACAGGTAGCACCACCATGCATGGCTGAGATCTTTTTAAAATATATTTTATCAATGAACATCAAAAGAACATAGATATCATCATGGAAGGAAAGAAT